TGTCTAATCTTTGGCAGCTGGATATCGAGGAGCTAACGATTGCCAACCTGCCGGCTGAGATCAGAAAGGAAGGTGAGCCTGCCTGTCCCCCGTGCGGTTTGAGCAGGGACGGAATCCAAACCCAAGTTTGTGGTGTGCTGGTTAGCATGCCTGCCTCGGATCTGGGAGACCCAGGTTCAAATCCTCACTCATGCCATGGAAGCTCACTGGGTGACCTTGGGCTGGCCATGTCCTCTCAGTCTAACCTACCTCCTAGGGTCGTTGTGAGGACAGAAGGGAGGAGAGGAGAACGATGTACTCCACTTTCCAGATTACCAAAATAATCTATCACCACACTCCGCATTTTCATTAGGGCTTGTTAATAATAATAATAATAATAATAATAATAATAATATTTATTTATTATTTATTTATTTTTGGGATTTATATCCCGCCCCTTTTGATTTCCCCTCCATGCGGCCGCTTCCACTATTGAGAGCAACACACCCACCGGCTCAGCTGGCTCCCTCCTCAGAGCTGCTGAGGGCACTCAGCCACTGGGGAAGGTCCCACGTCAGCTTCTGAATGTATCCGCATCTTAACCACTTGAGCCACCGCAGCTCCTATTTTTTATCATTTTATCATTAGCCTCAGATAAATTATTTTATCATTAGTCTCAGATAAGTTATTTTATCTGTTTCTGCTAGTTATGTTCTGTCTGCTCAGCCTGCGGATACTTAGCAGCCTGTCCTCCCAGCTGTTGTTGTTGTTTTTAAAACCTGCCTTTGAATTAGAGATTTCTCTCCCAATTCCACTGGCGTTTTCTAATCGAAGCTCATTGAGCGATTCTTGAAAGATCTTTCTGTGCCAACGGCTTCCGGTTTGATTTCTCCATCCCCTGCCAGGCCCCAAGACCATCTTAGCTTTCTTACGGGCCCAGCTGCGGAAAGCGGAGCCGTGCCACCTGATGAAGATGGTCGTGGTGGGCCCCCCGCGGCAGGGGAAGTCTGCGCTGATCGAAATCCTCCAGACGGGAAAAGCCTCCCAAACGATGCCCAGCGACGTCACCATCCGGACCATGAAGTGGGAGCTTCAGAAACCAGCCGGATTCAAATCGAAGGTCAATAAAAACAAGAGGCGAAACTTATACCAGGCTGGGGTGGGGTGGGGGGATATTGGTGCCTCAACAATGGGTGGAGCCTAATTGGGTAGAGGCACCTATCCCAGAGTTCAGATGCATGGTTAACAGCTGGCGGCTGCTCAGTAGAGAGCATCTTAACATATTGTGTCTGTGCCTGGTTTGCCAGTTGTACGGCTGTGGAGAGGAAAGCACTCCAGAGAGTTATTATTACAGCCCAGAAGATCATTCCTGCCCTCTCCCATTCCTGGAGGAATTGTATAGTTCTCGATGTTTGAAAAAAGCAAAGAACATTTTGCAGGACTTGTCCCATCCTGATCATTCCCTGTTTGAACTGCTGCCTTCGGGCAGAAGATATTAGGACAATTAAAGCAAGGACAAATAGATTAAAAAAATAGTTTTTACTCGAGAGCTATTATTGCCTTAAATGCTGTATGAAACTGGAATTTGGGTGACATTGGTGGTTTTAAGTTGTTATGTGACCCTTAAGGGAGTTATGGGACAGTAGTGGATGGCTGTGTGAGTGCATATGAATATTGTTGTAGATCACCGAAATGATTGCATCTTTAATTTCGTTGTACTATGTACAATGACAATAAAGTATATTATTATTATTATTATTATTAGTCGCAAAACAAACCTGTCCCTGGAACCAGAAACATGTTGAGCGGGGGGGAAGGCAGTATTGTGCCACCTTCCCATAGATAACCAGAGGAAAGAGCCAATGTGGTTAAGACAGTCAGGATGTGGGAGACCCAGGTTCAAATCGCCACTTGTGCCATGGAATCATAGAGTTGGAAGGGACCTCCAGGGTCATCTAGTCCAACCCCCTGGACAATGCAGGAAATTCACAAATATCTCCCCACCTCTGGTGACCCCTGCTCCATGCCCAGAAGATGGCAAAAAAACCCTCCAGAATCTCCAGCCAAACTGGCCTGGAGAAAAATTGCTTCCTGACCCCAAAAACTCGCTGGGTGACCTTGGGACAGTCACCTTCTCTCAGCCTAATCTACCTCACAGGGTTCTTGTAAGGGTATAATGGAGGAGGTGGGAAGGGTGTAACCCGCTTTGGATTCCCATTAGAGAGAAACGGAGGCTATAAATGAATGAAATAAAGGAATAAGGAGGAATCTCCACACAGCCAGAGTCAGACCTGCATTGTTCCAGAAGGAAGTGAAACCTACTAAGCGAAGAAACATTAGCAATCCTGTTCCTCACAGGGGTGTCTGTTGTGGGGAGAGGAAGGGAAGGAGATTGTAAGCCACTCTGAGACTCCGAGTCGAGGGTGGGGTATAAATCCAATCTCCTCTTCTTCTCCAGCAATGACGGTTGCGCTACTCCCAAGTGGTGAAGTCATTGGCTTAGATTTCCTGTGTGGAAGCGCAGGCCACCCGCATCAAGGGTTTCTTTCTTCGGTCGGAACATTGACGCCCATTGTTGCCCTGCCGTCACACACTGCAAAGATGCTCGGGGCACGAGTTCATTATGCACTGACTGTTATCTCTGTGTGGTTTACTTTAGCTGCTATGGGGGGGTTGTTCTCTCTCCCCTCCCCCTCCCCCCCACTGAATGTTTCTCTTTGTCCAATTAGGTTGATTCAGTGGAGTTTAATGTCTGGGATATCGGCGGCCCCGCCAGCATGTCGACAGTCAATCAGTGTTTCTTCACAGACAAAGCATTGTACGTTGTCGTCTGGAACTTGGCACTGGGCGAGGAGGCCATTGCAAATCTTCAGTTCTGGCTGTTGAATATTGAGGTAAGGGAGACGTCATTTCTGGTGTGCTGGGAAGTTGTAGGTATCAGTAGGGGCGTTTTAGCGTGGCGTTGGTAAAACCCGGCTAGAACTGTGGTTGGGTTTGACTGTTCGTCTTGGACCGCTGACAACAGATTCATCGAAACCAGAGATGCCCTGGGCCTGCGTTGTGCCAGTCGTTTACTGCACAAATACCTGTTTGAACACCACGCCTGTATAGCAGTCTTTCGGTCTGCATGAATCAGCCATCTGAGAATTGGCAATGGTATGGAGGTCTGATCCCTCTCAGGGGCAGTGAGTTCCATGGACTCCCAGTGGAGAGCCAGTTTGGTGTAGTGGTTAAGTGCATGGACTCTAATCTGCGAGAACCGGGTTTGATTCCCCACTCCTCCACATGCAGCTGCTGGCTGACCTTGGGTCAGTTACAGTTCTCTCAGAGCTGTTCTCTCAAGGGCAGTTCTTGAGAGAGCTCTCTCAGCCCCACCTACCTCACAGGGTGTCCGTTGTGGGGAGGGGAAGGGAAAGGAGATGGTAAGCCGCTCTGAGACTCCAAGCGAAGAACAGGGTATAAATCCAATCTCCTCCTCCTCTTCTTCTTCATCTTCTGCCCCCCTGCCCTCCCTGGCTGCTTCTACATCCAGGGTTTTGTCTTCCTCAGTTCCAAACACCCCTAATGTAGCCAATCCTAATGAGTTTCTGCTGTTGGGTGTGGCCTATTATGCTAATAGGTTTCTGCCAACTTGGGAGCCAGCCGGAACTCCGTTCCTGTGCGTTCCTGCCCAAAAATAGCCCTGCTGAAACCCATTTTGGCAGATTTAAAAACTGCTTTCTGAGCAGGAAACTCCTACATTTTTAATGTCTGGGGTTGACCAAAAAATCCCTGTACAAAGTAGCTACGTTTTTGTCTTCTGCTATAAAACTACAGGCTGAGATAATGCCTTGTGCATAATTCTCTTTGGTAACCTCTAACCCTTTTCATTGTCTGGATGCACTAGGATGAATGATATAGGTAGAGGTCTGATTTTAGGTCGTTAATTAACATTGTTTGTTTTGCTTTTGTATTTTTTGTTGGCTGTACAATAAAAAATTGACTAATAGAACCATTAAAGTGCTATAGTGCATGCCTCAGGAAGGGACAAAATACCGTTGTCCACGGTATTCAGTTTTTCTTTTCATGGCGAGTGAGTCTGATCCCTTGCAAAGGCAGTGAATACTGTGGACCTCCAAGTGGCCTGTCTGATTTGGCAGTTTCCACTGTGAGGTTTTTCTCCCCCTTAGTTCCAAGAGCAGGGTGGAATCTCTGGGGACCACAGAGATAAGGTAAAAGTGAGGGGGGGGGGCTTGAGGAAAGGTGTACAGAGGGAAGGCCTGGAGAGCGACCCCCCGGTGACTCCGAGGTGGGCGGGCCAGGAGGGCTGGAAGGATCAGAGATGCATTTAAATGCCTTCCTGTGCCTCCCCTGGCCTGTCCAAGGGCCAGCTTGCCTGGGCTCCCCACGGCTGCGGGGTGTCCAGTCAAGCCAAAGGAAGGGTGTGGCCTTATATGCTAATGAGCTTGCTGTATGGGGTGTGGCCTGATATGCTAATGTGTTTCTGCTGTTGGGTGTGGCCTATTATGCTAATGAGTTCCTGCTGGGCTTTTTCTACCAAAAAAGCCCTGGGGACAGTGATAGTCTAGCAGCTGATGTTGCAGGAGAGAATAAGTCCCTTCCAGTCTGCAGAGATTTCTCGCTGAAACATCTGGAAGTGGTTCTGACTTGCCCCAGACATTCAGGCTCCTTTCAGGTCTTCTGCGGTTGTGCACAACTGGGTACGTTCTTTCGCTTTATGGGATGGGAAGCCAGTCCAGTAGAAGACTCAGCCATACCTGTTTTGTATGAATAGCCCAGACTAGCCCAAAGCTCGGGAGAGCTCGGAAGCGAAGCAGGGTCAACCATGGGTACTACTTGGATGGAGGCCGCCTGGTAGGATTGGGGTTGTTGTGCAGAGGCAATCAGTGGCAAACCACCTCTGAACTTCTTTTGCCTAGAAAACCCCATGAGGGGTCGCCATGAGTCAGTTGTGACTCGGTAGAGCAAGAGAGCGAGGGCAGGAAGGGTTGCCTCAGTACTTAGTTCTTGTGGCCCTTTCTTACACGCCCAGGGAAATGCCAATTGCTACTTTGGGGTCAGGCAGCAGTTTTCTGCAGGCCAGTTTGGCTGGAGAACCTGGAGGGGTTTTTTTGGCCATCTTCTGGGCATGGAGCAGGGGGTCACTGGGGGCGGGGGGGAGGTAGTTGTGAATTTCCTGCATTGTGCAGGGGGTTGGGCTAGATGACCTTGGGGGGTCCCTTCCAACTCTGTGATTCTACGACAGCACATAATTATTACAGTTTTGCAAAAGCTTCCTATGAGAGCCTTGCACAGAGCTGAAAAACCATGACCCTAAACTTCTGTTTTTCCAGGCCAAGGCTCCGAATTCAGTAGTGCTGGTTGTCGGGACACACCTCGACTTGATCGACACCAAATTCCGCGTCGAGAGGATCGCTACCCTGAGGGCCTACGTTCTGGCCATCTGCCGCTCTCCTTCTGGCTCAAGAGCCACCGGCTTCCCCGATATCACTCTGAAGAATTTACAGTAAGTCCGGTGAGGGCCCCCGTGTACCCACTGCAGGGCTTTCATATATGCAGAGAGCCCCCTCCCCGGTCTCAGCCATTTGTAGCCCTAGTCAGGAATGTCGGTGGAATGATTGCAGGACATCTAGCCACGAGGTGGGGGCAGCAGCTGATTTGGCAGCAGCTCAGACTAGCAAAAGGAGCTTCCAGAGAGCACAGAAGCATTGAGAAGAGTTGACCGGCGTGTTCAGAAGGAGCCTGTGATTTAGTCTTTCCAGAGTCCTCATCCCTTGTGAAAAGCTGGCCGAGAGGAGGCCTCTCTAGCCTGGCCTTCCTGAACAAATTGTGTGCCGGGAGATTCCACCACCACCACCACCACCCCGAAGCAGGGGTGGCCCAACCCTGCGTTCCGAAGTGGTACAGCCGGAAATGCCTGTGCCACGTCCACTTTCTGAAGGTACACGTCAGCTGCTAGATTGTGCCTCTGTTCTGTCAAGAGGGTTCATTTCCAAGTGCAGCATCCTTGGTACAGAATTTCACGAAAGGTTTTATCACGTCGCTGCATTCTGCTGTATATCACGGCATACTTTTGAAAAAAATTTGTTGGTCTATTTCTTTTTCCGGTGGTGGTATTTTTTTTTCCAATATATTTTTCATATTTTCACAGAAGCTCACACCTTGAATAGAACTTTGTTGGTCTTCAAGGTGCCACTGGACTCTATTCCAGCCCCTTGAACAATTCCTTTCACTCGTGTTCCTACACCTTGGACTGGCAGGAGCACTGCGCCTCTGACCACTGTGACCGGAGACAGCTGGTCTGCTGTTTTGAAGTCACTGCTTGTGGCACGGAAGCCTTTGTCAGACAAACACAAAATCATTCTTATCTCCCGTTTCCACAGAACGGTCTCCTCCTTTCTCCGACTGTTCACAGTAACTGGAATTTAAAAACGGAAGATGCTAAAGAAATCCCCCTCCGCCACCCCCTTTTTTCTTCCTCTTCCCTCCCACCCTGGAAAATGCGTGTAAGAACAAGTTATTGTGGTGAGATGCAAAGAAAGCTGCCACTGCACAGCAAGCCTCTGAGGCTGGAGGGGAGTGAGATATCCGAGAGGTGGGGCCCTGGATACAAGGGAGATCCAAACAGAAAGGCTTGACTTTCAAGGCCAAGTCTTAATTTTCTGTATTTGAGCCAATTTGGTGTAGTGGTTAAGAGCAATGGACACTAATCTGGGAGAACCAGGTTGGATTCCCCACTCCTCCTCCACATGTAGCTGCTGGTGTGATGTTGGGTCAGTCCCAGTTCTCTCAGTTCCATATACCTCACAGGGTGTTTGTTGTGGGGAGAGGAAGGGAAGGAGATTGTAAGCCACTCTGAGTGAAAAGTAGGGTATAAATCCAACTCTTTTCCTTCCTTCCTTCCTTCCTTCCTTCCTTCCTTCCTTCCCCCATTCCTCTACATGCAGCTGCTGGTGTGGCCTTGGATCAGCCGTAAGTTCTTTCAGAGCTGTTCTCTCAAGGGCAGTTCTCGAGAGAGCTCTCTCAGCCCCACCTACCTCTCAGGGTGTCTGTTGTGGGCAGGGGAAGGGGTCTGTAAGCCCCTCTGAGGGTCTGAGTGAAGGGCAGGGTATAAATCCAACCCCCCTCCTCTCCTCCTATTTCCAAAAAATTCCCTGGCTTTACTAGCAAGACTGAGCTTCCCCCCATTTCATTAGATTTGCAGTTGAGACCACAAGTAGAGAGAGGGAGAGAGAAGCAGTGACCTTCGCTAAAATGCCTGTCGAGCAGAGGGATTGCAGGTAGCTTAAAGAAGTGAGCCATGTGGGCAGGGCTGGCTCACTCACTAGACGAACTAGGCGTTCGCCTAGGGTGGGCCGGCTCTTAGAGGGAGTGCTGTCAAGTCACAACCGACTTTCAGGGACCCCATCTAGCAGCTTACGGGGCAAGAGAGGAACAGAGGTGGTTTGCCATCGCCTGCCTCTGTGCCGCAACCCTGGACTTGCCTGGTGGTCTCTCCTCCAAGTGCTTAGCATCCACGCTTTGACAGGACTGGGCTAGAGCCCGGGCTGCAGAGGCTGCAGTGGAAGGCGTCATGTATTTGAGATTCCAGATGGCAAAAAGTGGACATCAAGATCTTTTGTGTTTCTTAAAGGGGTGAACCCATACTGGCTTCTATTCCCGAATTTTAGTCATACAGAGCTTTGAGGCTTATGGGTAGGTTTACACAAATTTAGGAACTCTTACCACGATGGAGCTGCGGCGGCTCAAGTGGTTAAGACGCTGAACTGCAGGCTGTGGAAGGTCGGTAGTTCAGCAGTTCGAGACCTGGGTGCCGCAAGATGGAGTGAGCTCCCATCTCTAGTTCCAGCTCCTGCCAACCTAGCAGTTCGAAAGCAAGAAATTGCAAGTAGATAAATAGGGACCACTTCGGTGGGAAGGGAACAGCGTTCCGTGAGCCTTGGTGTTGAGTCATGCCGGCCACATGAGCACGGAAACGTCTTTGGACAGCGCTGGCTCTTCGGCTTTGAAACGGAGATGAGCACCGCAACCCTAGAGTCGGACTCGACTGGCTTTCGAGCAAGGGAACCTTTACCTTTACCACGATGCCAGGTGTTCCTGTAGGTCTGCCATGGTTACCTGGACCCTCGCATCATGACGTTTTAGACGTGTATAACTCTTACAGTGAAAAGCATTACTGACATTGGAACCTCTTCTGGGACCGGATACTTTGATCCTGGCGTACGGATTACCCCAAATGTGGGGATCCTAGAGCAGCAAACACTAGGAGATCCAGTCAAGTATCTTCTACCTCTCATGCCATTTGGCCTTAAGACCTTGCATGTGGATGGCCGAATAACCTCTGGACCGTTAAGGACCATCTGCAGAAAATGCAAATGGTATAGCAACTACAAGACGGACAGAGATTAAATTCCAGTGAGTTCTTTTCAGAACAAATATCTTCTTCAGGGTAGCGTTTCCCCCAAACCCAGTCAGCTCTACGCAGGCTGTGTCTCGCTAACCTTCGGTTAATTCGGGCATGTGAAGGTAGCCGGGCAGTTTGGAATTATGTTTCCCCCTTGGGCTTGCTCGCCTCGATTCCTGGGCCACTCTAATGGTAGGGAATCTCTCTCTCCTCCCGGTGTCTCTCTGCAGCGAGCTCTCGTGTAAGACCCTGGAAGGCCTGGATGGGTTCCGCCAGCTGATTTACCACATCACTTGTAACATGAAGGATGCCGGCAGTTCTATCTGCTCACAGAAGCTCGTGGGAAGACTGGTGGGTATTCTTTCTTGGCGGTGGAAAGCTCCTTTAGTTTGGTTTGGCTTTCCTGGTATGAGCGTTTCTCACCTTTTGGTAATACTTAGAAGATGATCAGGTTGACCATTATGTCATCTGGCCTGGATAGCCCAGACTTGCCTGATCTGCTGAGGTCTCTAAAGCTAAGCAGGGTTGGCCATGGTTAGTGTTTGGATAGGAGACCACTAAGGAAGTCTGTGCGGAGGCAGGCAATGGCAAACCGCAGCACGAGAGCCAGCACGATGTAGTGATTAAGAGTGGCAGACTCCAATCTGGGGGACCGGGTTTGAGTCCCCACTCCTCCACATGCAGCCGCTGGGTGACCTTGGGCCAGTCACAAGTTCTCTCAGAGCTGTTTCTCAAGAGCTGTTCTCTCAGAGCTCTCTCAGCCCCACCGGCCTCAAAAGGTGCCTGTTGTGGGGAGAGGAAGGGAAGGTGATTGTAAGCCGCTTTGAGACTCCTTAGGGCGGAGAAAAGTGGGGTATAAAAACCGACTCTTCTCCTCTTCCTCCTCCTTCGTACCACCTCTGAATGTCTCTTGCCTTGAAAACCCCAGGGGGGTCTCCCAAAGTTTGCTGTGGCTTGATGGCAAAGAAACCAAAAATGGGAATGATCCTATAAAGCCTGTTCAGTCGTTGCCATTTGGGCACTCCATTCTGATGTGATGCACTATACCCTGTCAAGTCCCCTTAGTTTTAAAAAAACACACCATATTACCACCTCTGCTCATGCAGTACTGATGAATGGGCCCAGGGGGGCTTTAACAAAGTGATTGGTCTTCAACATAACAGATACCAAGGAGTTACCTGCGCTTCCAAGACTCCATCAAAGCAGAACAACAGAGAAGAAGCCAAAAAGACAGAGTCCAGTACCTAACAGACAAGGAAATAGAGAACATCGTAGACGGAACTCCAGGAAATGACATCAAGGACTATGAGGATTTGCAGTCTGGTATGGCTAGATATGGCTGATGCCGGGGATTGATATGGCTGAGGAGCTGCGGTGGCTCAAGTGGTTAAGACGCTGAACTGCAGGCTGTGGAAGGTCGGTAGTTCAGCAGTTCGAGACCCGAGTGTGCCGCATGACGGAGTGAGCTCCCGTCTCTAGTTCCAGCTCCTGCCAACCTAGCAGTTCGAAAGCAAGAAATTGCAAGTAGATAAATAGGTGCCGCTTTGGTGGGAAGGGAACAGCGTTCTGTGCGCCTTGGTGTTTAGTCATGCCGGCCACGTGGCCACGGAAACGTCTTCGGACAGCGCTGGCTCTTCGGCTTTGAAACGGAGATGAGCACCGCAACCCTAGAGTCGGATTCGACTGGCTTTCGAGCAAGGGAACCTTTACCTTTACCTTTTTATGGCTAGATAGGGTAAAATTTGTCTCAACATGCAGAGTTTTCTGAACTGGAGGGCATCTTGCCTACCGTGAACACACACGAAACGGCTTTATGCTGAATCAGAACTTCGGTCCCTCGAGGTCAGGATTGTCTACTCAGACTGGCATCGGCTCTCCGGGGTCTCAGGCAAAGGTCTTTCGCATCACCTGCCACCTGCTCCTTTAAGCTGGAGATGCCGGGGATTGACCCTGGGACCTTCTGCATGCCCCGCTGCTGAGCCACAGCCCTTCTCCAAATGGAAGAGTCTTTCCTGGGATCCAGGAGCTGGTGTGGTGTCATGAGGAAAGGTCCTACATTTGTAGCATTTCAGACAAGGCAGAATTATTGAAGAATTATTGAACCCTTTGCTGGGTTCCGAGGCCCACAAGGCCCATGGTTTTAACAGGTGGGGTCAGGGCTTTTTTTGTAGAAAAAGCCCAGCAGGAACTCATTAGCATTAATAGGCCACACCCAATAGCAGAAACTCATTAGCACATGGGGCCACATCCCTGGCAGCACCACTCATTAGCATATTAGGCCGCACCCACGTGTTACCAGAAGTGTGGTCATCCAGCCACACCCACCTTTTGCTTCTTATTCTGTTTACCTTGTTTGTTGTCAAAACCCAGGGCTTTTTTGTAGCAGGAACTCCTTTGCATGTTAGGCCACACACCCCTAATGTAGCCAATCCTAATGAGTTTCTGCTGTTGGGTGTGGCCTATTATGCTAATGAGTTCCTGCTGGGCGTGGCCAACTCAGGAGCCAGCCGGAACTCCGTTCCTGTGTGTTCCTGCCCCAAAATAGCCCTGGGTGGGGGTCATGGCCCCGGGGTAGAGTAGCTGCTTTGCATGCAGAAGATCCCAAGTTCCGATTCCCAGCTGCTCCAGTTTAAAAAAGGGATCATGTAATAGGTAGATAGCCCAGGCTAGTCCAATCTCGTCAGCTCTTGGGAGCTAAGCAGGGTCAGTCTTGGCCAGTATTTGGATGGGCGACCACAAAGAAATGCCGGGGTCCGTACACAGAGGCAGGCCATGGTGAACCGCAACTGAACATCTCTTGCTTTGAAAACCGTAAGGGGTTTCCATAAGTCGGCTGCAACTTCAGTAAAAAAAAAAAAAGTGATGTAAAAAACCTCAGAGCCCTGGAGAGCACCTGCCAGCCAGAGTAGATGATCCTGGCCTTAATAGACCAGGGGTCTGACTCAGTAGAAAGCAGCTCCATGTGTTTGTTTTCAGCTATGCCAATTTCTTGTTGCTGGGTTTTTGCCGTTTTCATGGAATCATGGAGTTAGAAGGGACCTCCAGGGTCATCTAGTCCAACCCCCTGCACAATACAGGAAATTCACAAATACCTTCCCCCCACACACACACACCCAGTGACCCTTGCTCTAGGACAGAAGAGTTCAAAAAAACACTCTCGAGGATCCCTGGCCAAACTGACCTGCAGAAAACTGCTTCCTGACGCCAAAGTGGCGATCAGCATTTCCCTGGGCTTCTACAAAAGGGCCACAAGGACTAAGCACGGATGCAACCCTTCCTGCTCTCCCTTCTTGTGATCAATGTTCCCTCTAAACTGTGGAGTCTTGTGAGCAAAAATTCTACTTTTTGAGTTCTGGCATTAAAGTTGTGAGCAAGCGATTTGGCTACTGCATAAATCAGTTCGCTCTGGAGCCCTCCTTCCTGGCATTAAAGCTGTGAGCGAGCGATTTGGCTCCTGCATAAATCAGTTTGCTCTGGAGCCCTCCTTCCTGAGCTAAGACAGAAATGTGTGAGCCGGAGGCTAAAAAACTGTGAGCTAGCTCACACTAACTCAGCTTAGAGGGAACACTGCTTGTGATCTGCCTAAGTTTTAAAGCTTGTTGTTGCCCGCTTTGGATCCCATTGCATTAGGATAAAGGCAGGCTTATGAATGTTTCCAGATAAACACACAATAAACGGATTTCTTTGCTCCGCTTTCCAGCCAGGCCACGGCATTTGTAGCACAGCTTTCTTCCTCTTTCTCCTCAGCCATCAACTTCCTGATCGAAACGGGGACTTTGCTGCACTTCCCAGATACGAGCCACGGGCTGAGGAACCTCTATTTCCTCGACCCGGTCTGGTTGTCGGAGTGTCTGCAGCGAATCTTCAGTATCAAAAGTTCCAAATCGGTTGCCAAGAATGGGGTGATCAAAGCCGAGGACCTGCGGATGCTGTTGGTCGGGACAGGCTTCACCAAGCAGACGGAGGAGCAGTATTTCCAGTTCCTTGCCAAGTTTGAAATTGCACTCCCGGTAGCCAACAACAGGTACACTGGTAATTGTCACCAGACGTGTGGCTAAACAGGGCAGGTGGAAACACAGAAAAAGAGAGGGATGCAGCTCCCACTGTTTATTGCATTCACTTATGCACAGAGGTCATTTCGGGGGGGATCGCGGGGGATCGCAGTTCCCCCGGGTGAGGTGCAGGGGGCGGGGCACATGACAAAGCCCCGCCCCCTGCTTCCGGCCGCCCCGCTTCCGGCCCTCATTCAGCCAGGGGGAGGCAGGAGAAGAGGGAGGGTAAGTTGCTTCCTCCCCGCCTCTCCCCACCCCTGCCTGCCTGGGGCCAGGGAGGGCCTTGGCGGGGCTTCCTCGCACTCCCGCCGGCCTTGCAGGTCCACCGCCGGGGCCCTGATGTCAGGGGGTGTGGCATATGCTAATGAGTTATGCTAATGAGTTCCCCTAGCTCTTTTTCTACGAAACGACCCCTGCTTATGCAGCAAACTAGAAAATGGATGTGGGTGGGTCGGGGGGAGTCAATGGGTTGGATCCTGCCAGCATCTTCACCCCTTCTTGCTGTAGCACTGATTTCCCCCCATGGCTTTTGTCCTACCTTTCCCATCCATGGAAAAGCTTGGTTGGATACAGCCTGCTGGATTTTAGGCCTCCGGGTCCGACCCCCTGTGGATTCAGTGATCCTGCACGGTGTCAGCTAGGCTGCCATGAGTCGGGAGAGATGCTGTACTTGTTATGCATTCCTTTCCATGCGCTTAATTGCTTACCAGCTGCAACGCTTATCTATAAGGACGAACTGGAGGAGTGTAGTGTCTACCTTTCATGGGATCGTTCTGATTCCCAGCTTTCGCTTCTGTTAGAAACTTTCCTGAATCCCGCGCGCGGGAGCCCATCTAATTGGGTGTCGCTGGGGGGGGGCGCATACGAATGCCCTATATCCTATTATGCGCATAGGTAGCCCGCCATTCCTAACAGTGTTCATGCTACTGCATCTATGGCTTTTCGATAAAAGTAAAACCTTCTTGGAAGCGTGCACTTCGTTGTTTGGCTGTGGGTCCTGACACACGGGAGCATCTAGGCCTCAGCCCTTGGCACAGCGTTTCCAGAGGGGGTCCTTATCCCTGTCCGCTCTGAGGCTCTGTGGACCTCGCAAAGTCTTCATGTTTGTTAGAGATTTAAAATGCGCATTGACCCACATTTTGATTGCTTCAAGGGAGAGATCTGTAGCTAGGGAATTTTTGGGAGGGGGGCTTGGGGGGCCCACCAGCTAATTCAATGAAAGTACAGTGCAGGTGTTAAGTTGGAGCACTTTGGGGGCAGCCCGGGAGCGAGGGGGCCCAGAAGAAACACTAGGGGGCCGGGCCCCGTGGCCCCCATGTTAGCTACGAGCCCGTCTGTGCAGCAGTGCTTTTTGCAGGTGAAACAAAGGGGAGGGAATCATCCCCCCCCCTTTCAGCTCACACACTGAAAACCTGTCTTTCATTTTCTAATCACAAAATCATGGAAGGAGGGCCTCCATCGTGTGTGTTTGCATGCATTGTGTAATTAGCTGCTTATTCTTTCTCTTTTCAAAGCCGTTTTCCCCTCTGCTGTTCTACATGCGTATGTATTTTTGGTATTCAGCCTGTGCTGTTAGCTACTTGAATGAGAGAGAGAAAGAGAGCTTGGAATTGCACAGATGTTTATCTGCACTGCTGTGTCCTTTCCGGCGTACAAACACACACACACACACACACACACACTTCAAACAAATTAGTATATTTGGCCTTTGCAAAATGTCTAAAAGTAATTATTTATTTATATTTTGTTTATTTATTAGATTTTTACCCCGCCCTCCCAGCAAGGCCGGCTCAGGTCAGCTAATTCTTAGTTACGTCATTCAAACAGCCTGTGTAGCCACAGTTGTTCCTGCTGAGGTGTGTCAATGATTTGGACCACCTAGTCCCCAAAAAGAAGTTCAGAAAGATCAGAACCATCTTTGGAGGGAAGGGGCTGTATCAATATTTGTCTTCAGTTATTTTATTTTTTTTAAAAAACCAAGCTTTCCGGTCACTTCTTTTGCCTTAATAAACCCTTAGATTTCTTTTTGCACTTGCAAAGACAATTACTGCAAAGGAAACAGACTTACTGTTCCCCCTCTTAAGCCTCTCTTCTTTTGAGCCATTTTTGATGCTCACTCAGACAGAATCTTGGCTGCTTATTTGACACTGTCGCTATGGCTAGTTATTTCTGATGGGTTTGTACAGGTTTAACCTACTCAGCCCAATGCAGGAGTGAGAGGGAATCCTGTATTTCAACACTTTAAACAACAATCCATGAGACAGTCTGTACTCAACAACAACAACAATTTGCCACCAGAATCTCTTCACAGGAGTCCCCGCCTATCCTAAGAGCAGAGATTCAAACTCTTAGCTGGCATATGGGACTTAACACATCAGCAACTCTAACCCAGAGGTGCTTACAATTTACTCTCACAAAGGTAGCTCTGTGTGGTCAGCGTTAGACACGAGATTTAGCCTTGGAGTTCAAGTACAGCATCAGAGACACTTACAAATATGAATGATCTTTATTCAGTGCAAAGCATAGCAAAAAGACTACTAGATGATACAAAAAAACAAAACCTATGGCTATTTGCCCTTACTACACAGTAGCAGAACCAATATTACCGAATGAAGCATCAGTAGTCCAAGATAGTCCATTTGTATAACAGTCCAAGTAGGCACCAAGGGATTTTGAAGAGAAATCCCATCTTGCTCAGGCATGTAGTCCAGTTCACAAAGCAGCTCCTTGTTTCAAGAGTCAGTATTCCAGGTGCAATAAAGCAAGCAAAAGCCAGAGCAGGAGGAGAGAGAGAGCTCCCCCATAGAGACCCACAGAACTATACCCCCCATCCCAGTCATAATTAGCTGTGGCCATCAGCCAATCACGAGCGTCAGGGGTGTGTGCCCAATTGTTAGTTGCCATAGCTGCATGTGGGGATTGGCTAGAAGTTTAGAGGCCCTGCCTGCAATCAGGTGACCCAACCTCCAGCTTTCTTCATTGCATACGTGACATGTCTCATATGAGCCAGGAGCCTTAAAGTCTGGCTCTTAGCAGAAAGGTGTTAAGGAATGTGGGTATATGGCAGGATTATATGGCATGGCTGTTTGGCAGCTCAGGCCATCTGGCCTCACCATTTGGCTTGCAACAGGAAGTAGAGACACAGAATGTCATCACAGGAGAAGGCATGAGAATTTAGAAAGCAATATTTCTATACAGGGTTATTTCCAGTTACTGCCTGGATGGCCCCGAGATGGAAGATTTGCAACCCTGTCACTGGCTGGGAAAGCGCTTGTCAGTTTGGCTGCAAAATGTGACCTGAACATTCCAAGACGCTTCTGTCGGCGAATGCTCGAGCACAGGGCGAAATGTGCTTTCTGCACTTCGATGCTGTTGCAGAAAAACATGCAGGTCTTAACAAGCACTAATACTGTTATTTTTAATAACAGACCACGGTACAGTGGCTCGAGTACTGGATTAGAATCCGGGAGACCCACAGAGGACCACTCTGCCGTGGAAGGTGGGCCGTTCTCTCTCAGCCGAATCCTGCCTTCAAAAAGTGTTAACTTTGAGCCTAAAGTGGAGGAGGGGAGAAAAATCGGGGCCGTCCCAGTGCTTCTTTCAGAGCTCCATCAGTGGGGCAAAGTCTGGCCCATTCTGAGTTTCTGAGCGTTTTGAATGGGTAGTTCAGCAGTGGAGCTGGCTGCCTGGGGAGGTGGAGAGCTCCCCCTCACTGGCCGTCTTCGTGTCGGGACGAACACTTGTCAGGGATGCCGTAGGCTGATCCTGCACTGAGCAGGGGATTGGGCTGGATGGCCCCTTCCAACTCTATGGTTCTGTGATTGTGGTCCATCAACATCAGAGATCTGCAAACATTAACACTGAATACGGAGCAAGGGATCAACAAAGAGCTGCTGTAAGAATGATAACTTTACAACTTAGATACGTCACAACGCTAATGATACTTTACAACTTAACATTCCTGATCATTGCTGTATAGATTAATCATCCATACAATTTCTGTGACCTGAACACCGGTCATGTCAAGCCCTTTATTAGGAAGTGGCGCACGTAAGGTCCCTCAATACATCGTAAATATACACGGGAGCATCTTCTGTGATTGTTTTAGGACTCTAACGTACATCTGCACATGCTTTGCGCTCGGATTCCCAGCAGCGGTTCCCCTCTATCATTTCCCTTTCTGCAAAGCATCTCTTTACAGAGCTGCGGTGGCTCAAGTGGTTAAGACGCTGAACTGCAGGCTGTGGAAGGTCGGTGGGTCAGCAGTTCCAGGTGCCGCATGACGGAGTGAGCTCCCGTCTCTAGTTCCAGCTCCTGCCAACCTAGCAGTTCGAAAGCAATAAATTGCAAGTAGATAAATAGGTACCACTTTGGTGGGAAGGTAACAGCGTTCCGTGCGCCTTGGTGTTTAGTCATGCCGGCCACATGACCACGGAAACGTCTTCGGACGGCGCTGGCTCTTCAGCTTTGAAACGGAGATGAGCACCGCAACCCTAGAGTCGGACTTGACTGGCTTTCGAGCAAGGGAACCTTTACCTTTACCTTTAAAGCATCTCTAAGTCCCTGAGACAGTTAAAAATCTCTGCCATCCATTCATTCCCTTCACATGCTGGATCTCGCAGCATTCCGCCTCGCTCTCTCTAACATCTTACCTTAAGAGGTTTCATTTTCTTTTCTAAAGGAGCCTTATTTGGTTCCATACAGAGCCATGTTGGGCTTTGGAGCCAAGGCGGCAGATCCCTGGCCTAGAATTTGGAGGCGGAAGGGTCGTCTGAGGACAGCCACTGGGTCTCGTGCCCCAGGAATCAGGTGGAGTGGAATCTGGCAGCCGCGGAAAAATCTGCCCTCAAGATGGGCAGCTGGCAGCCACTTATCAAGGCTGTTTGCGCTGGGCTGTGGAAGTCTGCACTGAGCACATGTTTGCCTGGAAGGGTGATCCCTAAATCATTTCCAGCTTAAGGGAAATGGAGGAATCTTTGAGCATCTGAATGGCAGTTCCTGGCGGCACAAACATGCCAGATATTTTACTGTGCTGTGCTATGCTGGAAAACCTTTCCAGCGGCTTGGGTGTCTGTCTCTTCCTTGGCTTTTTTGTGCAACATCGCTTTATGGGTAGTAGCTGCGGTATCCTATCATCCTGTGCCAACCCAAAGGCCTTTAGCTATGCTGCTGAAGGCGAAACGCAAGAGGTTCTCTCTGGTAGACACACGCCATTTGCTGCTTGAAAAGCAAACACAGCTGCCGCTCCTAATTGGAATGTTCTGTGATTTTGTTTGTTTGTTTCGTTTTGTTCGTTTCAGTTATCTCCTACCTCATCTGCTTCCTGCCAAGCCGGCTTTGGACATCCACGGCTTACGCCACCAGATGGCAAACACCATCCAGAGGGTATTCAAGATGAGTTTCGTTCCTGTCGGCTTTTGGCAAAGGTTTATCGCTCGGATGCTTATTAGTCTTGCGGAGATGGATCTCCAGGTAGGCAGGTGCCCGTGCAGTGCGAGAGCTTAGAAAACAAAGCTGGTGTGGTGTGTAAATAATACTAATTGCCTGCCTCTGCATAGCCGCCCTCGTCTTTCTGGGTGGTCTCCAACGTTCCCTCTAAGCTGAGTTCGTGTGAGCCAGCTCACAGTTTTTTAACCCCCGGCTCACACTTTTTTGTCTTAGCTCAGGAAGGATGGCTCCGGAGCAAACTAATTTATACAGTAGCCAGATTGCTCGCTCCCAACTTTAATGCCAGTGGCTCACAAAGTAGAATTTTTGCTCACAAGACTCCACAGCTTAGAGGGAACATTGGCTGGTCTCCCATCCGAGTACTAACCAGGGCTGACCCTGCTTAGCATCCAGGCTCTGGCAGGCTTGGGCTAGTCAGGGCTATTCAGGCTGACGTTATAGGGCTGAGCTTTACATGACCTAACAACAACAACAACAACAGGAGGAGGAGTTGGTTTTATCCCCCGCCCTTCATTACCGGAAGGAGTCTCGGAGCGGCTTATAATCTCCTGCCCTACCTCTCCCCACAACAGACACCCTGTGAGGTAGGTGGGGCTGAGAGAGCTCTGAGAGAACAGTGACTGACCCAAGGCCACCCAGCTGGCTGCATGTGGAGGAGTGGGGAATCAAACCCGGTTCTCCAGATTAGAGTCTGCCGCTCTTAACCACTGCACCAAACTGGCTACCTAATACAGCGGGGTGCACAACTTGGGGACCACTTGCCTCCCCATCATTTGAGAGAGCTCTGAGAGAACAGTGACTGACCCAAGGCCACCCAGCTGGCTGCATGTGGAGGAGTGGGGAATCAAACCCGGTTCTCCAGATTAGAGTCTGCCGCTCTTAACCACTGCACAAAACTGGCTACCTAATACAGCAGGGCGCACAACTTGGGGACCACTTGCCTCCCCATCGCTTCTCCCATACTGCATATCCCCACAAAGTGTGTAGCATGGCTTATTTTATGTTATTTTATTTAAATCCCGCTTTTCTCCCTAATTGGGACCCTCAGTGGCTTATTGCATGGTTTTCTCCTCTCTACTCTGTCCCCGCAACAACAAGCCCTGTACAGGAGGTTAGGCTGAGAGGTTCTGAGCGGCCCGAGGTCATCCGGTGAGCTTCCATGGCACACTGGGGATTTGAATCAGGTTACCCCAGATTCTAGTCTGACAGGCTAACCCACTTCACCACAGCGCATGGCTCCCGCCACCAGTTCGGTGATTCGGCGGTCACTGCTGAGCTGCACGCCTTCTACTGGTTGCAGCTCTGAGAAAGGGGTGCCAGTGCAGCATTGCCACAAAAAGCGGGTGGGGAATTTTAGGCAGTACCTGCTGAGAGGTACAGATTGTCCCCTTAAAATGCTAACATCAAAGAAGGTTGCCAGGTTTCACACAGTAGCACTGAGTGGAGGTGAAAGGGTTAAACCTCCTCTCTCTTCCCTGCATTGACCCTAAGGCAAATTGCGGCTACACAGTGATTTCTCTGTGGAACGAGATAGTGCTCTTCATCCTGTTTGTGTGAGCCCAAAGCGTTCGCAGATTCCCAGCATCCCAAACCCTTCTCCCTTAAAGCAGTTCTCTTTATGGGTGTGCTCCATTTTGAAAGCAGTTGAACTGGAAGAAGAAGAAGGGGGGGTGGAGATTGGATTTATACCCCACCCTTCACTACCCAAGGAGCTGTTTGAGAGCTGTTTACAATCCCTTTCCCTTCCCCTCCCCACAACAGACACCTTGTAAGAGAGCTCTTTTGAGAACTGCCCTTGAGAGAACAGCTCTGAGAGAACTTGTGACTGAACCAAGGTCACACCAGCAGCTGCATATGGAGGAGTGGGGAAATCAAACCCGGCTCTCCCAGGTTAGAGTCCATGCATTTAACCACTGCACCAGACTGGCTGTCATTAGTGGAGTAACAATAGCATTCATATTGCACTTTCAGTATGCAAAACACTTCTAATGCATTATCCTGTTGTATTCTTAACAACAATCTTGTAGGGTAGGGCAGGAGTATTGCAAACGGGAGGGAGGGTTTGAGGCTGAGGAGAGGCTTATGTAAGAAAAGCTGGTGAGCTCTTGGCAGAGTCAAGATTTGAACCCAGCACTTCCCAGATCACGGCTCATTCTCTTAGCCACTAAGCCAGAGCAAATTAAATAATGATGTTCTTTCCCTGTTGGGATTAAGCCTGGCTTCGCAGGTGGGGGGGTCCCATTGGCGGAGGATGAAGCCTCCAGGAGGGTCTCTGTGGAATTTACATGACTCCCCCCCCTCCCCCTTTGCCAGCCCTCGTGGGGGCCGTTTTGGTAGTTTCAAAATGGGTGTCCAGATTGGTAGTGACAGTTGAAAGGCAGGTTCATCCCGTCCGTCTCGAGGCAAAGATTATGTCCGCCTGACTGTATCAAGAAGTGTGAGAATCCCATTTAGCAACGTAACTGCATTTGGCATGTTCATTCTCTGCTCCGATACTGTTGGCTTTAAACCTCATTTGCGGTTTCTCTAATTACCTGCGCAGACCTCGTTATCTCATTGTTATCTTGTCTTCGCCTCAGATTCTTCATTTGATTTGCCTCTGTGATGACAGGAATGATGGTGGGATTCACTGTGAGCTTGCCTGGCTCCTTTATGAATATGCATTATTTTAGTTTCTACAGAAACCACACACTACGAGTATCTTTTACAGAATATCCCTCTGAGTATGAAAACCAAGAGCAGCTGTAGTGTTGGACTAGGATCTGGGAGAGTCAAGTTCAGATCCCCACTCTGCCATGGAAGCTTGCTAGGTGGCCTTGGGTCAGTCACACACGTTTGGTCTAACCTACCTCACAGGGTAGGTTAACAATGAAGTTAGAGAGAAGGAGGGGAGAACAGCATCGTAAGCCACTTTTTGGTCCCCATTATGGAGGGAAAAAAGGTAAAGGTTCCCTTGCTCGAAAGCCAGTCAAGTCCGACTCTAGGGTTGCGGTGCTCATCTCCGTTTCAAAGCCGAAGAGTCAGCGCTGTCCGAAGACGTTTCCGTGGTCATGTGGCCGGTGTGACTAAACACCAAGGCGCACGGAACGCTGTTAACTTCCCACTGAAGCGGTACCTATTTATCTACTTGCAATTTCTTGCTTTCGAACTGCTAGGTTGGCAGGAGCTGGAACCAGAGACGGGAGCTCACTCCGTCTTGCGGCACCCGGGTCTCGAACTGCTAAACTACTGACCTTCCACAGCCTGCAGTTCAGTGTCTTAACCACATGAGCCACTGCAGCTCCATTTTGGAGAAAGGCGGGGTATAAATATAAAAAAATAAATAGCAACATAAGATGCCCTACTGTGAGAGCCAGTTTGGCATAGTGGTTAAGAGCGCAGAGTCTCCCCTGTTTTCAGGGGATTAAAAACAAGAGCGCAGAGTCTAATCTGGGAGAACTGTGTTTGATTCCCCACTCCTCCACATGCAGCTGCTGCTGTGACCTTGGGTCAGTCAAAAGTTCTCTCAGAGCTGTTCTCTCACGAGCAGTCCTCAAAAGAGCTCTCTCAGCCCCACCTACCTCGGAGGGTGTCTGTTGTGGGGAGGGGAAAGGGAAAGGAGATTGTAAACCGCTCCGAGACTCCTTCGGGTAGTGAAAGGTGGGGTATAAATCCAATCTCTCTCTTCTTCTTCTGCTGTATCAGGCCAGTGACCCATCTATTCCAGAATCCTGTTTCCTACAGTAGTCAACCAGTTGCCTTAGAGAGCCAACAAATAGGGCAGGGAGACCAAGGCCTCCCCCTGATGTCGCTTCTTAGCACTGGTGTTCAGAGAATTACTGCCTGCGTCTGTGAAGGTTTCCTTTAGTCACTATGGCTGATAGCCATGGATGGACCTCTCCTCCCGTTCAGCTCCATTAAATACCGTGGAGTCGGCCAGGGCTCTTTTTGTAGCAGGAGCTCCTTTGCATATTAGGCGACACCCCCCCTAATGTAGCCAATCCTCCAAGAGCTTACAGTAGCCCCTGAAAGAAGAGCTCTGTAAGCTCTTGAAGGATTGACTACATTAGGGGGGGGTGTCGCCTGATATGCAAAGGAGTTCCCGCTACAAAAAGAGCCAGTGGACGGTTTGCCACTGAATTCGGAGGGCTTTGGGCTTGCATCCTAAGTCTCCAGAGCTCTTCCCTTGGCCTCTTTGCCAGCACTCCCTTATGGACCTAGCAAGTACCACAGTTGCTATCTTGGAGAACAGGGCTACCTGACTTCTGGTTTTTATGGGGCTTCTTAGTGCACTCCTAAATTGATAGTGCTCCTGTCCCAAAGCCCAGGAGGATTCCTAGTCCCAAGCTGAGGCTGGGATCCATCCATCTGCTTTCTGCCACTGTTCTCAGACCCCACAGATCTATCGCTATGCAGGGGGCTTTTCTGCACTTCGGTAACTGATAACCTTCGCACAATTCGGGGTTCAGGAGAGGGTGGAGCAAGAGGGGAGGAAGCAAGCACCACCCCCCACACCATTCTGCTGCAAGTCCTTGTGGGTCCCCCGTTGTCCTCCCTAATATTCAAGACCCATTTCGTAGAAAAAGAGGTGCAGGAGCTCATTAGCATAACTCATTAGCATAACTTATTTGCATATGTCGCACCCCCTGACATCACCGGAAGTGTGTCAGAAGGCAACACCCACCGCTCAGGCGCCACTGGACTGTTTTGGATTGCTAGCTATTGGGGGGACGGGGACGTGCAGATCTGCCCTCGCAGAGGAGGGAGAGCTTGTACCTGAATAAAACTTGGTCTTAAAGGTGCCACTGGACTGTTTTGGACTGGGCGGCCGGGGGGGGGCTCTGCAATTTACCTGGCTGCTTCTTGCTCTGACTGAGGGCTGCTGGGAGCAGGGGGCGGGGCTTGTTGCATGTGCTCTTTACTGCCGGAGCTCCGCTCCTGTGCGCTCCTGCAGGAAATGACCCCTGGGCCCCACGCTTGGAATTGTAATGAGAGCTGGACCAACAGTCTTGTAAACTTGGAAGGAACCTTGACTATTCAGGCAGTTGACTTGGTCCCAGTAGGTTGTTAGAAATATATATCTAGCCTGCCAGGAGAAGGTGATACAGAAGAGAAGAGAAGGGCCGTTTTAATAGCTCGAATTGATTATAATTACAGAGGTGACGTGTGAACATTGAGCTGTGCTTATTTTGCCTGTTCCAGTTCTTCGAAAACAAGAAGAACACCAAGAACAGGAGGAAAAGCACCATTATCTATAGCTTCACAGGCAGACAGCGAAACAGGTGCAGCACATTCCGAGTGAAAAGGAATCACACCATTTATTGGCAGGAGGGGCTGTTTGTCACCTTTGACGGAGGCTATTTGAGGTAATGATTGAGGCATGACAGGCCTGGTAAGTTGGAACTCTTGGGAATTGTCTCTTAGTAACAACATTGGAAAGCGTCATAAACTGTCTTTGGAAAAATGGTTTTTCTTTTTTAATACATGGAGCTACAGATCAGATTTTTCACCACACCCTGATTAGAATTAACCTGCTTGCAGAGGAATCAGATGAAATTATTTCCAGAGATGCAGCTAGCTCGAGTTTGCAGCCATAATTAAGACTTTTATTTTCATTTGTCTCATTTTATTTTGAATATTTATATGTCGCTTTTCTCTTGTAACTCAGGATTCAAAGCGGCTTGCAAACTTTAAAGTAACAGACAAAATACAATAATTCAAAATTCCAAGACATCACATCATAGCACCATTACAAAACTCAAAACGGGGGGGAATTAAGAGACCCCAGTGATGGTGCACATCTTTATTCAAAGGATCCTTCAAAGAAGAAAGGATCTTTATTCAAGTCATCTTATTTTTTCAGTATTTTTCATGTGTATTTTTCATTATGGTTATTAAACATTTGGAGGTTTATTGGTATCCATTGGTTTGACTTTTTTTGTTTAGCCACAAGGTATAGATAGGGGCTCTGGGGGAAGTGATGCTCTGTCTTCTTGGTGCTTGGGGGGGGTCAACAGTGGGAGGGCTTCTAATGTCCTGGCCCCACTGGTGGACCTCCTGATGGTACCTGGTATTTCTGGCCACTGTGTGATACAGAGTGTTGGACTGGACGGGCCTTTGGCCTGATCCAACATTGGCGTCTCTTATGTTCTTATGTTTGCTTTCCACCCAACTGGGATGAAATTTCCAGTGACGGGACTTCCTAAATTAGAAAAAAGTTATAATCAGCCCGTATTGGTCCACACAGAATTCAAAAGTGAGAACAAAATCCACGTAATATGTTTCATTAGGATCAACCAAGTGGACACGAAATATTGTGTAAGATTTTGAGCTAATAAGGGTGTTATGCGGATTTTGAGCTAATAAGGGTGTTATGCGGATTTTGTACATCTCGCCCAGGGGATTCTGCCTGCGAAGCTTCAGGCAGAGGGAAGAAAATCATTCCCCATTTTATAGACTGTCCCTTCCACAGAGTGGTAAGTCGCCTATCGCTGGAGTTGGTGCAAAGCTTGGGCAACTCACTGCCTTTTACACACCGACCACCCAGGCTGGCCTTGCCTGCCTGCCTGCCAGCAGATACAACCATAGCATTTGCCCCCGTATCTAGCAGGTGCAAATAACATAATAGCTCATGCAAACAGGGCCTTGGGAGAGAGCCTTCCCACAGCTGCAGAGATGGTGCACCTGACTGGCTGAAATGCTATATGCCAATGCCAGTCAGACTGCTACTGTGTCAACTGTTCTGCTTGGATGCATACCTGCTGAGATAACGCTTTCCCCACTCACTGCTACTCGCCCTGCCTGGGCAGCTGAAACGAAACAGCAGGGCACCAGAATAATAGTGGGATCCAAGTCTTCTAGCCATCTGTCAGTGCTCAAAGTAGGAATCCGGAAAGGAACTTGTACCGTCCTGTGCCACTCTTTGTGTATCTCTCCAGGAAGGCCAGCTTGACAGTAAAAGGTAAAGGTCCCCTTGCTCGAAAGCGAGTCGAGTCCGACTCTAGGGTTGCGGTGCTCATCTCCGTTTCAAAGCCGAAGAGCCAGCGCTGTCCGAAGACGTTTCCATGGTCATGTGGCCGGCATGACTAAACACCAAGGTGCACGGAACGCTGTTACCTTCCCACCAAAGTGGTACCTGTTTATCTACTTGCAATTTCTTGCTTTCGAACTGCTAGGTTGGCAGGAGCTGGAACTAGAGGCGGGAGCTCACTCCGTCATGCGGCAACTCAGGTCTCGAACTGCTGAACTACTGACCTTTGACAGCCTGCAGTTCAGCGTCTTAACCACTTGAGTACAAAACCATTTAAGAAACTAAACTCAGTTTCTGGGTTTTGGTTTTTCGAGGTTTTGCTAAATGAGGACGGAAAGAATCTTATTGTACTTGCGTTTTACAAGATGCTTCTTGGCTTTCTTGCTATCTTTTTGGGGGACAGCGTGGAGTCTTCCGACGTGAACTGGAAGAAGAAGAAAAGTGGTGGAATCAAAATCATCTGCCAGTCAGACACGAGGGATTTTTCCGCAATGGCTTTCATCACCGATCACATCAACTCTCTGATAGACCAGTGGTTTCCTGGTAAGAGCAACTACAATTAACTCCTGCTGGGACAATTCTACTTTAGCTGGGACCAGGCTGGACTGGACAGTTAACTTACAGGGAAAGTTCCTGGTTGACCACTGTCATGGTGAGCCCTTCAGCATCCAGGCGTTGAGCCAACTGGCCCCCCTATTGATGCTTTACAACAGTTTTGTGCCAGTTTTATGAGATGGGGTTTTTTTTGTAACTATCAATTTTTTAAATTTTATAAAGAACATAAATCAAGTAGCCCAAGCGCATATCGCCGACCTAAAAAAAAAATGGCGGGCGAAAATCGGAAGCCTCGGGCTTACGAACGAAAGTGGCTCTACAACGTTGGAGAGCCATCAGACGGGGGGTAAAGCAATTACAACCATTGCACTCAGGATACCACCACTTTTGGACCTAGTGGCAGAATACAACAGTTTAAAGGTCTTTGCAACGGTTAGGGACGGAAGGCAGATGTTCACCGTGTGAATGCCAGTAAGTACACCGATTCCAACCGGCACCTATACCGTTGCAAATGCCCCGTCTGAACACACCCTATGTGTTATATAAAGTAGATGACCAAATTTTGTGCCATTGATTGTCAGTGAATGTGATATTGCAGTCTTTATGCCATGCGTGTTGTTGTGATGAGGTAGTATTCCACAATTTTTGATTTAACATTGGACATAGTGAGATGTGTATAGGGCCTGTGTGCAGTGTCATGTTGAAAAGCTTGATTGTCCGAGCTCTGCTTTCCTGACTGCGTCCCTCAATGCACATGGCGGCTAACAGATGGTGATGCCGCCACCCTCAGGTGTTAGGGGCCTTTTTTGGGCATGACGATTCCATGACTGAAAGGTTTGCTTTTGATTCCTCTGTCCCTCCTCAGCGCTTACGGCTACAGAAAGTGACGGAACTCTCCTCATGGAGCAATATGTCCCTTGCCCCGTCTGCTCCACCCCGAAAAGTCAAGACGGGAACAGCCAGCAGATAGAAGACATGCAGTTCTTCAACATGGAGGACTGTGTTCTCACTGCCATAGAGTTGGACACCATCACCTGTCCCAACCACCCGGATACCCCCGTCCCATTGGAGGAGCTGGTCCCGGAGCTTTTCATGACGGATTTTCCTTCGAGGTGACGTTTATTTTCCCTTTTCTTTCTCCTCCTTGAAATTATCGCTTCTGGCTTGCATTCCCTAGAGGTCTCCACAGCAACTTCTTCCCTTATTTCTTTATTAATATTGCTCCCTGTCATTTGAGTTGGGTGCAGTACACAGCAGTTTCGTTAACTCCTGTCTGCCATTGAACACAAGCGGCTTCCGATCTGAGGACCAGGCCAGATGTTATGTTTTTCCTTGGGGTTTGGTGAAGTATATGTTCTGAACTTCTGAGCTTCCCGGGTACTCATGGGAAGGACCATGACACACAGAGATTGGGGGCTCAGTTCTTCCTCCCCTGCACAGTTTTCTCAACCTGAAATGGCCTGGAGGGGCGCTCTTTGCCTTTGGGAAATATAATGCATAGCTCTTCAGTACACATGCAGCCCCCAATATGGCAACTTAGTGTCCTGAGTGAACAGATTTGGGTTAAGGAAATAGCATGGGGGGTGGGGTGTAAGTCCCCATGAGTAGGGTTGCCAAGTCTATCTTCGCCGGGAGCGGGGGGCTCCCGGCCCGCGTCTTGTGCGCGCGCACCACACACATCACCCGGAAGTGACGGGAGGACGCCAGGCCCGCGTCAGTTCCGGGTGACGCGCACGTCGGGGTGGAGTTCCCCCCGGGGCCCTATCTGGCAGCGCCAGGGAACGGGCCTCTGGGGCGGGGGTTTCCCCGCCCCCCCGGGGGGACTTGGGATCCCTACCCATGAGCCATGGTCCCAATCAGTGTTCCCTCTAAGCTGAGTCAGTGTGAGCTAGCTCACTGTTTTTTAGCCTCTGGCTCACACGTTTTTGCCTTAGCTCAGGAAGGGATGGCTCCAGAGCAAACTCATTCATGCGGCAGCCAAATCGCTCGCTCACAACTTTCATGCCAGTGGCTCACAAAGCAGATTTTTTTTGCTCACAAGACTCCACAGCTTAGAGGGAGCATTGTTCCCAATCCAAATCAGGCCCACGCACCCCTGGGAAGTGCTGGACTTCGGAACGTGCCTCTCCACCAAGCCAGAGGAGGTAGCTGGAGAAAACATAACTTGTAACCAGGGCCCTTAGCCACGAGCTTGAGTGGCTGGCGGGAAAGCCAGGAGGACAGACTGAGGGAAAACAAAAAGCTACTTTGACGTGGGCGCAGAAGCCAGTTTTGTCCAGGTGAGTTATGAGCGGTTTACTTGACTGGGCCCACCCACAGACTAGACGGGGGCTGCTGTGTATTGGGGAGGCTCCTGAAATAGGCAGGAGAAATTTATTTTGGAAGAGGCCTGAGCATGCCCAGGGTTCTCCAGGAGCCATGGAATGTTGGTGGTTGTGGGGGGCGGGGGGCAAATGTGTGGGAGGGCAAGAACTGGACCTCTAAAGCCTTTAAAAGATTATATCTGAAGAAGAGATGAAAAGGATTGGATTTATACAGGGGTCGTTTCGTAGAAAAAGAGCTAGGGAAACTCATTAGCATATGCCACACCCCCTGCCATCACCGGAAGTGTGTCATAAGGCCACACCCACCACTCAGTCTTAGTCTTAAAGGTTAGTTTTAAAGGTGCTATTTGTTAGACTTAAAGGTGCTATTTGAACTCTTGGACTATTTTGCAGCAACAGACTAACACAGCTACCTCGGGGAAGCTCCTGGATGGGGCTGTGAGTCCTTGCAGAGGCCACGTGGAGTGGCCTCGGCCAGGCAGAGGGGGAGGACGCCAACTTACCCTCCTGCTTCTTCCTCCTTCTGCAACAGAATGAGGCTGGAAGCAGGGGGCGGCCGGAAGAAGGGGCGGGGCTTCGTTGTGTGCCCCGCCCCCCTGCACCTCACACGGGGGAACTGCGATCCCCCGTGATCCCCCCCGAATCGACCTCTGGATTTATACCCTGTCCTTCACTCGGAGTCTCAAGAGTGGCTTGCAATCTCCTTTCCCCCTCCTCTCACCACAGCAGACACCCTGTGAGGTAGGTGGGGCTGAGAGAGCTCTTTCGAGGACTGCTCTTGAGAGAACAGCTCTGAGAGAACTGCGGCTTGCCCAAGATCACACCAGCAGCTGCACGTGGAGGAACGGGGAATCAAACCCGGCTCTCCCAGATCAGAGTCCACCACTCTTAAGCACGACAACAAACTGGTTGAAGGGGAGAGTTGGGTCAGAGGGGAGACGTCACAGTCATTTGTTTTGATGCTTTTCCTGCTTTGTGTTATTGCTGTTTTGTAATTTTTTTAAAAGACCCACTTTTTATGTAACTAATATTTAAAATCTACACTGGCTGCGGTCACATGGAGCATTAGGCACGCTAGAGGGACGGAAGATAGGCGGATTTTTCCGGGCGCGATCTCACCGCCACATATGGGAAGCGTCGAGCTCCCGTGGCGAACCCGAGGCTTCCCGTGGAAGATGCGCGGCAAAAAACTAGTACCTCGGAGGTACTAGTTTCCTGAAACTGCAGGGCAAGGGCAGGCGTCTGATCGCGTTTCCGGTGGTAGTTCCGGCGCCCACCTATGTCCCCTCAGGAAAAGGTGTTTTTTTTTTCAAAGTCTCCACGGATGCGCACAAGCACCCAAGGGAGCATGCGCACATTTGAGTTAAAAAAAACCCCAACCCTGTTTGCCCCGTGCCCCGCTTCTTTGCCGCGCCGCAGGACTGTGGAGTGATCGGCACCTCCCCCCTTCCACGGGACCTCGATCGGTAGGTCTGCTTGAGCAACCGCACGGTTTTTAGCCCCGGGGCTAACAGCCACATTTCCCCCCCGCATTTTCCTGCCCGTGTGACCGGGACCACTGCACACTTAAATCCCAGCTGAATTGTTTTCCTTCTACCGTCTTTTCCCGTCTTCTCCCACTTTGTTTTTATTGTCGATACTTCCCATAACTTGCCCAACGTATCAGCTTGGATTCAGCCAGCTTTTCTGCCGGTGAAAAGGAAGGAGGGTTTCCTTTGGCCACCCCAAAACATTATGGCCATCATGGGACTCTCACGCTCAAAAGAAATATGGGGCAGTGGCTGTAGAATAGAGGGGAACTGGGGAAGATTGAATGTAAAAAGCTAGCTGGATCCGCCCCAGAGTATCTCCTGCAGGGACCCCCACAGTGGCAGCTGAAGGTGCCATGTGCCCTCAAGTGTTTCTAGAAAGTGGGTGGGGCCAATTGGAGCTTTTGCCCAGCGGGGCTTCTGATTGGTTGCTGGAGATCCCGATTGGCTGTGCAGATGAAAAGGCATCCGGTTCAATAGAGCTTCTGCCTGAAATACTGAAGAGTTGCCATTAGAGTTATGCGTGACCTCACTCCCCGACATTTTGTGGTTGGTTCCGCCTCCTGTGGCAGCCATTTTGTGGTTGTGCCCTCCACTCTTGTGGCAGAATTCCAAAAGTGCCCACAGGCTCAGAAAGGTTGGGGACCCCAATCCACCGCATTCTCTCAAAAGGAAGACGACACTGAACGTAAGACCACCCACCATAAAAATGTTACACCCAAAAAGATTTTTATGATTGGATGGAACCGTAACTGTAACTTGTATGCAAATTTAAGACAACCCCCCCTTTTTGATGGCAGAACATTTCGTTTGGTGGGGCATGGGGAAATCTGGGGGTGGGTGTGCCCCAGCCAGTGTTCCCTCTAAGCTGAGTTAGTGTGAGCTAGCTCACAGTTTTTTAGCCTCCGGCTCACACATTTTTGTCTGAGCTCAGGAAGGAGGGCTCCAGAGCAAACTAATTTATGTAGCAGCCAAATCGCTTGCTCACAACTTTAAAGCCAGTAGCTCACAAAGTAGAAGTTTTGCTCACAAGACTCCACAGCTTAGAGGGAACATTGGCCCCAGCCATGCCCGCTGCTCCTCTTGAAGCAGCAGAAGCAGCAGCTCCGGTTCCGCTGCGACCTCTAGTCCTCCTCTAGTCCTCTTGAGTCGAGAGACTCGATTCCGGGCTGCTTTTCTGTGCAAGCTGGGAAGGGGTGTGTGTCTCTGACTCTCTCTCTCTCTTTTGCATTTTGCAGTTTTATTTTGCTGTTTTATTTTTATTTTATTTGCATTTTTAAAAACCTATTTATTGTTCGTCCTGGAAAAAAGAAAATGAGGCTGAAATTTCCCTGACTGTGGCCGGGGTCATTTTGGAAGCCCCACGCACATCTTATATATTTTTTTATTATTACTTTTATTTTGGAAATTTTAAAAAATGTTTTGAAGCCGGGAAGGAGTGTGTGTCTCTAACTCTCTCTCTTTTGCATTTTGCAGTTTATTTTGTTGTTTTATTTTTATTTTATTTGCATTTTTAAAAACCTATTTATCGTTCGTCCTGGAAAAAAGAAAATGAGGCTGAAACTTCCCTAACTGTGGCCGGGGTCATTTTGGAAACCCCACACACATCTTTTTTTTATTATTATTAGTATTTTTTTTTTTTGAAATTTTAAAAAATGTTTTGAATTTTTTGCCAGAGGGACTGGCGCTCATTTTGGGGGGGCATTGCCTCCAAATCCCCCCCCATGGCTACGGCCTGTCTTAAACTGCCGTTTGCCATAGGAATACCACTCCATCATGCTGTTCCCTTACATACGACCTCCTTCAGCTAATAATAATAATAATAATAATAATAATACTTTCCATTTATTAATCGCTTTCCCCAGTGGGCTCAAAGCGATGTAGAGTTACTCAGTATAGACAGGGGACTAACAGTGTTTGTAGGGGATAGGGAAGACAACATATATTCATTCTTAATTGCACGCGCCGTCACTGCCCGGTATAGACGTCTTTCTGGCTTGACTCCGTCGTTTTCCGCAGGGCTGCTTGTTGGCCAGGCTTCAGGACCCGGATGTCAATCGCCACACTGCCACCACCTGGCACCACCTCACGTAAATAAGCCAACTCTCTTTCTTCCCGTCTTCTTCTTGCATGCCCAACAGGTTATTTTTGGAAAACAGCAAACTGGAATACAGCAAAAACGAAAACAATATCCTTGGCCAAGGAGGAAGCGGAACGGTTATATATCGGGCACAGTACCAAGGGATACCGGTGGCTGTGAAGCAGTTCCTGATGAAAAAATGCATGAGTTCTGCGTGTTCAGCCACAGGTATTGTGCTCTTATTGAGTGGGAGGGTCGTCCTCTTTTGAATTCCCCAGCATGTTTATAAGCAGCTAAGCTCCCCTCACTTTAAAGCCCTGTGCACCTGTTTAAATACCACTTATTTGCCAACCTTGAGAAGTGATGTGTGCTTTGGTGTGGTAATGAGGATGAGGCATGTAAAAATAATCCTTATGAGGACCGTGCATACCGGAATGAAAAACAAGCGCTTGCCTGGCTGCTGCTCTGTTTTTGAAGCAATGTGGAACGGAGCATCGGTGTGAGGCGGAAGGGCAGTGAGCAGAGGGGGTTTGCGTGTGTGCACTTCATTCACGTCTGCCCTCTGCTTCCCATGGGCCACAGCTCAGATGAAGAATTCACGCTTTGGAAATAGAACATCTCAGGTTGAATCCCAGCCACTAGGGATAGAAATAGCCACACCTTTCTTCAAACCCTGGAGAGAGGCCGGCCTAGGTCCCAAGGAGTGGTTAAGACGCTGAACTGCAGGCTGGAAGGTCGGTAGTTTAGCAGTTCGAGACCCGAGTGTGCTGCATGACGGAGTGAGCTCCTGTCTCTAGTTCCAGCTCCTGCCAACCTAGCAGTTCGAAAACAAGAAATTGCAAGTAGATAAATAGGTACCACTTCGGTGGGAAGGGAACAGCGTTCCGTGCGCCTTGGTGTTTAGTCATGCCGGCCACGTGACCACGGAAACGTCTTCGGACAGCGCTGGCTCTTCGGCTTTGAAACGGAGATGAGCACCGCAACCCTAGAGTCGGACTCAACTGGCTTTCGAGCAAGGGAACCTTTTGGAAAGGTTAGGAAGAAGAAGAAGAAGAGATTGGATTTATACCCCGCTCTTCACTTGGAGTCTCAGAGCGGCTTACAAACTCCTTCCCCTCCCCACAACAGGCACCCTGTGAGGTAGGCGGGGCTGAGAGAACCCTGACACAAACTGCTCTTTTTAAAGGACAGCTGTGCCAGAGCTTGTGACTGACCCAAGGTCACATCAGCAGGTGCAAGTGGAGGAGTGGGGAATCAAACCCGGTTCTCCCAGATTAGAGTCCGCACACTTAACCACTACACCAAACTGGCACACAGATCTAGTCCCCCGCCTTATGTTGAAAGCCTGATCTGCATGGGAAAGCAGTCTGATGTAGTGGGTAGGGTGTCGGACTAGGATCTCGGAGACCCAGGTTTGAATCCCCACTCTGCCGTGGAAGCTTGCTGGCTGACCTTGGGCCAATCACATACTCTCACCCTAACCTACCTCACAGGGATGTTGTTGTGAGGATAAACCTTAGGAGACCAAGGTTCAAATCCCACTCCGCCATGGAAGCCTGCTGGGAAACCTTGAGCCCGTCACATAGTCTCAGCCTAACCTACCTCGCAGGGATGTTGTTGTGAGGATAAGACGGAGGAGAGGAGAAGGCTGTAGGCGGCTTTGAGTTTCCACTGGGGGGAGAGGCAGAGAGTCAGCAAAGCAAATAAGCAGGGCTATTTTTGGGCAGGAACGCACAGGAACGGAGTTCCGACTGGCTCCCAAGTTGGCCACGCCCAGCAGGAACTCATTAGCATAACAGGCCACACCCAACAGCAGAAACTCATTGGAATTGGCTACATCGGGGGGGTGTGGCCTAACATGCAAAGGAGTTCCTGCTACTAAAAAAGCCCTGGGTTTTGACCACAAACAAGGTAAACAGAATAAGAAGCAAAAGGTGGGTGTGGCTGGATGACCACACTTCTGGTAACATGTGGGTGCGGCTTAATATGCTAATGAGCGGTGCAGTCAGGGGTGTGGCCTAATATGCTAATAAGTTTCTGATTCTGGGTGTGGCCTGTTATGCTAATGAGTTTCTGCTGGGCTTTTTCTACCAAAAAAAGCCCTGCAAATAAGTAATTTATCTGCCCGGGGCTCAAAATGATGCAGTTGATGGGGATAATGTGCCCTGTCCTCTCGTACTGCAAGAGATGCTTGCTCCCTGCTACCACAGCTGGTCTTTTTCTACGAAAAAAGCCCTGCAAATAAGTAATTTATCTGCCTGGGGCTCAAAATGATGCATTGGGTGGGGATAATGTGCCCTGTCCTTTCATACTGCAAGAGATGCTTGTTCCCTGCTACCACGGCAGATGTGACCTTTCTAAGGAAGTGGAATAAGTCGGGGGCTCCCTGTGGCTTGCCGCTGTCAGAGACAGGGATGCTGGGAGAAACGGTCTTCCAGGGCTTCTTCCTTGATAGGTGGAGCGCTCAGTCCCCCTGTGGCAAAACACGACTAACGGCAGGGCCTCGTTTCCTCCGCCTAGACACGATGCTGAGGCACCTGCGGGCCATGGATGCCATGAAGAACTTTTCCGAGTTCCGCCAGGAAGCCAGCATGCTCCACTCTTTGCAGCACCCGTGCGTCGTCTCCCTGATTGGGATCAGCATCCACCCGCTCAGCTTTGCTTTGGAGCTGGCCCCGTTGGGGAGCCTCACCACCGTGTTATCCGAGAACTCCAAAGGTAAAGGCCCTGGTCCGTCTGCAGGGTTCTGGCGGGGCTTTTCAAGGAAGGGGATTACCGAAGTAGTGTCGGTGGCACAGTGGGTTTATCCCACTGTCTTAACATCTGAACTGTGTTAGTTCGAGCCCCGCGCTGGTGTGAGCAGCCAGCCTGTCGTCCCCAGCTCATCGTCCACCCAGCGATTCGAAAGCTTCGGCGAGTAGATAAAATGGGAACCACTCCTTAGAGAGGGTGGGCACGCCAATCTCCCTTGTGGGAGGGTGTTAGCTGACGGTCGGGACGTCCTGGTCGAGGTTCAGAAAGGTGAAATAACTTCTCGGCGATGAAAGAATCCCTGCAGTGGATGTTCTGGCCAGGCGGTGGCAGTGTGGCGATTGACATACGGGTCCTGAAGCCTGGTCAACAAGCAGCCGTGCGGAAAACGACGGAGCCAAGCCAGAAGACGTCTACACCGGGCAGTGACGGCGCCTGCAATTAAATGAATATATGTTGCCTTCCCTTTCCCCTACAAACATCGTTAGTCCCTTGTCTATATTGAGTAACTGTACATCGCTTTGAGCCCACTGGGGAAAGCGATTAATAAATGGAAAGTATTATTATTATTATTATTATTCCCCCTTTCTCTGACTTCAGGGGCGTCCTTTGTGCCACTGGGACACATGCTAACCCTGAAAGTAGCGTACCAAATAGCAGCGGGACTGGCCTACCTCCATAAGAAGAATATCATCTTCTGTGACCTGAAGTCAGACAACATTCTGGTGTGGTCCCTGGACGCGAAGGAAAGCGTCAACATCAAGCTGTCGGACTACGGGATTTCACGGCAGTCCTTCCACGAAGGGGCTCTCGGTGTGGAGGGCACGCCCGGCTACCAGGCCCCAGAGATACGGCCTCGCATAGTCTACGATGAAAAGGTAAATCTGAAACAAGCCACTTCAGTCACGGCACTTGGGGCTCAGTAGGATCTCTGGTTGGATCCGTTTCTTTTATTTACTTTTTTTGAGAGTCCCCCTTTCTTGCTGAGTGTCAAGGCAGATTACATAAAATGAAGACAGTGCAATAAAAAAACAGTATAAGATATCCAGTAAACCATGCACCAACGTGGCGGTTGGCTTTTGTTTCGTTCTAATGGTTTTTAAGATGGGATTTTCTTATGTATGTTTTTAATTTGTTAGCCTCTTCGGCAGCCCAGATGAGGACAGAAAAACAGGGTATACATTTCGTAGTATAAAAAGTGAATAGGCCTAACTAGACGATGCACTGAGTGCAATGATTCCATCTGGGCTCTTTTTGTAGAAAAAGCCCAGCAGGAACTCATTAGCATAATAGGCCACACCCAACAGCAGGATCTCATTAGCATACTGGGCCACACCCCTGACAGCACAGCTCATGAGCACATTAGGCTGCACCCCCATGTTACAGAAGTGTGGTTATCCAGCCACACCCACCTTTTGCTTTTCATTCTGTTTACTTTGTTTGTTGTCAAAACCCAGGGCCTTTTTTTGTAGCAGGAACTCCTTTGCATGTTAGGCCACACACCCCTAATGTAGCCAATCCTGATGAGTTTCTGCTGTTGGGTGTGGCCTATTATGCTAATGAGTTCCTGCTGGGTGTGGCCAACTTGGGAGCCAGCCGGAACTCCGTTCCTGTGCGTTCCTG